TTTTTTCGCAAACAACCTGGTCACAAATGATGACTCAACGAAGTGGCTTATCACGCGGAAATGTATAGCAGCCCAACAATCTAAACACCATGTTTCTAAATGTGGAGGGAAAAACGCGACCACGGGGAAAACATACAAACTCCAAATATCCAGGAGCTGGGATCGAACCCACGGACCTCATGTGTACCAGCCGAGGGAGTTAACAACTCACCACCCTGGCAACCCCTTTGGTGGCTGTGCAGAGATCTTGTGAACCCATCACATACAACATAAACAAATAACAATACATCGATTCTTACACACATCATTCAACGAATGTAGTTCATAAAAAATATGTAAATGTATTAATCAATTGAATCATCAATACACCTATAATATGAAGGCTGTGCATATGAGACATCACTCTTTTAAAATGATGCTAACTATAGCATGATAATTCTGGACATAGGCGAATGTATTCAGTTACATGCGTCGCCCGTAAACGACGAGGCTTCAGCAAAAAAACACTAGCGCTGGGTATGAACGGTTCATCTGCCCCAATCCGTTTTCACCATCGCAGTTCAGGAATAAGTCGAAGTATTTTTTATGTCGCTCTTGGTCGACGATGGATATGTTTCGCTGATCGCAAATGCATCCAGTGGTTGGTGGCTGCACCTGCCTATGATCGAGCGATGCCAATTGTCGCACGTGGGTGTCTCTGGCCCGAGCAATCGCACTGGCGCCCGGCCTACATATATATACACCTCTGGTGGGAAATGTACCCATGCCAAAAGTATAGAACGGCACAGGACGTGACACAGCTACGCGTCTCGAAAAGTTATTTGGGAAGGGTAAATAAATGAAGCGTCAGAATAGATTAACATGGTGTACATTATTATTACTTTATTTAAAAGAACGAGCGGTGGGAATGGGCTGATGAAATTCCTGAGTTTCACGCTGGTGACATCGTGGCGGCGATGCTGTTATATAAACGAAACTATTTTTTATTTTACCAGGTAAGACCCACTGAGCTATACTGCTCTCTTTCAGAAGCCACCTGGCCACAAATGATAGCTCAACGAAGTGGCTCATCATGTGGAAATCTATAGCAGCCAAATACTCTAAACCCGAGGACGCGGAGAAAAATTCACACGGGGAGAACATGCAAACTCCAAATTTACAAGCGTTAGGGTCAGGGTCGAACCCACGGCCTCCTGCATACCTGGCGAGGTAATTAACATCTCGCCACCGTGGCGTAACGATGAAGTTGAGGCGTGAGCGGAGGGGAACATCTTTACTTGCGGGACTCTTTTGGAGCTGCGGACGAGCGGGAGGCTTTCCCCGGGGCAAAGGTCGATAAAACATTCCCGCTGCGTGGAAATGAACAATGAGAATTTCACGTGCAACGTCATTTGCTATCGAGATTGTCAGGTGGATTTCTTTTTGTTTTGCTCTTTTTTTTTTAAGCAAGCGGCAGTTTTGGGAATGTAAACCACAGACGCCCATGCTCATTGCAACACCGGCATCGTGGCGCTGAGGCGGGCGCGTTGGTTAAACCTGCCTCGTTCCATCACTGTGTGTTCGCGTGACGCTCACTGCTCGGTGCAGAGCGCTGGCGCTCGTTGTTTGAGCGGCGGTCGCACAGAGCAACCGGCCCCCAGTGACAAGTCCGCTCAGTGCGGAGTCGTGATGATCACAGAGACTCGGCCAACGCCTCTAAAACTCCACAATGTTGACGAATAGTGTGAGAGGACGAGTACGCGCGCAGTTCATTATTAAGTGCGGTTGCAGATTCAAACGTAATGGTTTTTTTGTTGTTTGTTATCATTTTACCAAGTAAGGCCCACTGAGCTACGTAGCTCTTTTTTCAGATGAGACCTGGCCACAAATGATAGCTCAACGAAGTGGTTTATCACGTGCATTTTATTTTTAGCAACCAAACCCTCGAAACGCGTGATGTTGATTCTAAATGTGGAGGGGGAAACCGGAGGACCCAGAGAAAAATCCACGCGACCATGGGGAGTACATGCAAACTCCAAATATACAGGCGTAAGGATCGGAATCGGGATCGAACCACCGACCTGCTGTATACCAGGAGAGGAAGTTAACATTTCACCACCGTTCCGCAGCAGCAGCACCTCTGTATATACAAACATACCACACACCTTTATGCTATTCACATATTAACATGCCTGCACATACGTACTCCATGCGATACATATATAGGCATACTGATATAAACACCCAATTGTAAATAAACACTCCAACATGTCACATGCTACACTGCTATAAGCGCACCCTCATGCACACGACCACATGTACGCTATAAGCTTGTGCACATGTGCACATGTCACACGCAAAACATACAAACTGTAAACGTGAGCACACCCGCGTCAGTTTGCCGGTAGGTTTATCACCCCTTCATAATTTAATAACGTTGTTTAAATAAAATGTTGGGCATAAAAAAAAGACGTGGCGACGGTCTGGACAAGGCACACGGCGAGGTTATTTCTCAAGGCCGGTGCCTGCGCGCTGCCGTTTCGTTCCAGAAATGAAATTCTGCACTGCCGACACGCTGGACCCTATTCGGTCGGGGGTGTTCACGGGCACCGCAGCTCGAAACCCGCAGCCTGTGAACACGCAAGGGGGGTCAAGCAGAAGGCAGCGGAGCCACCCCGTTACTCGCACCCCAAACAACCGAGCGCGAATTGTGAGTGGGCCCCAAAGCGCGCGCGTGTGCATTTATATGGACGGGTTGTCCGGACGGAAAATAAATTGTGTGCGGCTGGACAATAACACGCGAACGGGCACAGTGGCGGCGGCGTGACAGAGCGAGTGGAAGGGGGTGGTGGGGGTGGTGGGGGTGAGAAATCGTCGCACGCTCTGCTAATGGGACCGATGCATTTCATCCCACGTCTGTTGGGGAGTGGTGGGGGAGTGGGGAAGAGAAACGCGATTTTTGAAAACGTCACCTTTTGCTGCACTCGCCGAGGCATCTCGCTCGTTTGTCAGTGCCCCGCGCGGTCACGTCGCGTTTGGGGGGTGGGGGTCACCGAGACGATGGCACAGTTGCCACGTTTCATTAGACAGCGTTTCGAGAGGGAATCAAACCATGGACGGCGCCGCAGAAATACATCACGTGCCGAGGACAATGTGTGCGGGATCGTAGAACGCACCCTCTCGGCAATCTGGTGGTTAATTAAGGAGCTGTTTGCCAGTGACTTTCAGAAGGCAACCTATGTATGTGTGTGTCTTTGTCTTTCGGTGTATATGATGTGGCCAACATGTGCTTTTGATGGGACAACGAAACGTCGCAATCTATCATTAACTCTTATTTTGTCGATACACATTAACTTGCTTCTCATATGCCATACACCACATTACAACGTGCGTACGGATGTTGAAGATTGTGTTAATGAGAACGGAAGTAATACCGCGTCTTCAAATATAATTTATATACAAATACACACACGCATACAGCCTAAATCTGTTAGATCCATTTTGGAACAGCGAGCATTGCGAGGGGCACCACATCATTTTGGGGGGGGGGGGGTGGGTGGTGGGTGGTGGTACCCATATCCACAGCCACAGGTATGAAACCCCTCGGGTGGAATGTCGCTGCAAAAGCAAGACCGTGGAGGTGAAATGTCAGCTTGTGCACAGCGGCTGTGGTGACTGGCGGAAGGAAACGACGACGTTGAGCGGTGTCGGCGGCGGTGATGGCGGTGGTGACATCAGTAAAATGCAGCGACCGTGACGCCACTTGACATTGAACTCGCGGCCTCCCGGGGCCCATCATACAATCGCCGGTGGGCGAAACGAGAGAGCATTCCAGTGCAGAGCGAGGCACGAGAAGCAAATTGGCGCAATCGGGCGAGCGCGATCCGCGTGACCTCGGCTCTGGCACACCGCCCTGACTAAACGCAAAAATCGGACACGCAGGCAAAAAAACAATATATGCCTGGAATTGCTTCCCCATTCCTAGTAATTTCCTTCCTTCCTCGGCTGCTCGCATTTGCCGCACGCTTGCGCGCTGTCACTTTTTGCGGCGGAAAAGGGCTACCGTGCCGCATTAAAACCCCGATGATGAATGGATGTGACCTTTAAACACGCCGTCGAATATGAACCGAGGACTAATGGGTTAAGTAATCGCGGTACAGTGCTTGGGAAGCGTAATTATAATCCGCTTGATTAATTTAATTTTTTTTATTGCACTATGGAGGGCATACATGGCACTGGCGACACATTAAATCGCAAAGTGTAATGGTTTCTCCTATTTTAAAAGACCGCTTAGTAAATTGCCGCTCACCGCTTGGAAACGATTCACACAAAGCATGCAACACACAAGGGAGCGACGGGCATTTGTAAATGTTCAATTGAAGGGAGGAAGTTCAAGAAAACCCATTGGGACAACTCGACTATGAGACGCGGGTGCAGGGCAGAGTTTTGTGCTAATGATGTACGCTCATGAAAACATTTTTGCTTGAAGTAAATCAGCTGTGCGGCTCCCTCCCTTCTGGCGCTCCGACCCCAGTTTTGTAGATGATGAAGGAGAGGTAGGGCCGGGTAACATGCCGGCAACAAAAAAAACCTCGTTTTACGCATCAACTGATGAATGGGGCGCGTGGAGCGGGAGGCTTAACGAGAAGAGGGGGTTCATGGGCAGAATGACTTGATGGGCAGCGGGAGTTCATGGGAACCACGAGTGGAAACATCGCCCTACGTAACGGGGTGTTTCAGAAAACAGATTCGCATGTTTTTGTTCTTTAGCTGTTTACACAATCGCAGTGTTAGCCCGATGCATTTTCCAAACATTACAATGATCACAGGGAACCGTGTTTGACTTGTGCTGCGTGAAACACACATGCCACGGGAATGACACGAATGCACAAAATAACAATACTTGTACTTCTATGATGCCACTTGCCTTCCTGACGTTGATGATGCTGAAAAGGAAGATGATGGTGATGAAGATGAATAGAATGAGAATATGAGCGATGAACAGGGTCAACGGGAGTCACCTTTGAGAGCCGATGTAACGCGATGCTGTTGATTCTAAAGTTCCCCATCTGTGGTTGGGGCGTCTCGTCTCTCCTCCGTCCTCGTCTTTGGCTCCGTGTAACGCGACCGCTGTCTTCATTAGCTCGCGACAGATGTTCCGCTCAGTGTCTCCGGTGAAACTCTCGCCTGTGAATTGGACATTTGCCGCGGGAGTCCGTGCCACTCGCGAGCACAGCGCGCGCTCTTCCCCTTCCTCTCCACGACGCTGCCCAGCGAAGCTGCCCTCCCTTCGCACTTGTCCGCGGCCTCGTTGCTCCTGCCCCGGGTGCAGCAACCCACGCCGACTTGGAGCGGATGCGCCTGCCTGTGTGTGCGCGCGCGCGCGTGCGTGCGCCTGTGTCTGACGGGGCCAAGCTCGCTCCCTCCTTCCCACCCTCCTTCCCGTTTCCTCCCTGCCTCCCTCCCAAGCGACTTGTAGAGCGAGTGAGCGCCCTCCTTTCTTTTTTATGCTTGACGTAGCAGCGCCACGAGGGACGGGAGGAGGAGGAGGGGTGGGCGGTGCGGGGCGGCATTGGTGGAGGGGGAGGGGGGGTCATTATCGTTAGCCGGCTATTTTTGGGAGACTGCGAGGTGGCACATTGACAAGTGAGTGACGAGGAGGTTCCGTGGGGACGGATGAGAAGGCAAACATCGAGCCCGCCACGCTTCGGTGACATTGAAGGTTGAGCCAACTTTCCAGCCCCACGCATGCGCACAATTAAAAGGAATGTTCATCGGAGACGGGTACCCCAGGTGACTCGTGAAGACGTGGTCCTAGGATTGGCGCCGTGGCACCACCGCCCCTGTCTCCCAGTGCCTCCGACGTCTTACGCACAGCAATGCGAGCTGGGGTCCACAATGCACACCCGTGTTTTTACTCCCAAATATTTGGGAAGCCATTGGAGCCACGCATTTGAAAATCTAGATCGAAAACTCATTTATTAAAAAAACTGCCTTTTTGTGTTTAGTTTGGTGTCCTTCCCCCGCACCTACGCTTAGCGCGGTTAGCTACGTATGGTGCGAAAAAAGTTCATCATAGTGGCAGCAAGGATGTCGTACATTGGTTTTGACAATTGCACATGAAGACAGGCAACAACAATTCGTATTATTGAGCCTGCGCGCACGCAAAGAGGAGAAGCGGCAAGTTGTTAACGATGCTGGTGGCACTCCAAACGAGATTGCCCTTGACTGTGGCCGCAGTTTTCAAAGCAATCAAGGCGCCTTCATGAAAGGGCAACTTCGCTGTCGCATCACGCCACAGCGATGGTGTGATTGGCACGGACAGGCGCTGCCAGTGCTCGACCGTGGTCGTACGTGGGGTGGTGGTGTTGGGGGGGGGGGGGTGGTGGTGGTGTTGGGGGGGGGTGGTGGTGTTGGGGGGGGGTGGTGGTGCTGGTGGTTGTGCGGGTGGTGGTGCCGGTAGTGGGGGGGGGTGGTGGTGTTGGGGGGGGGGGTGGTGTGGTGGTGGTGGTGGTGGTGTTGGGGGGGGGGTGGTGGTGGTGTGGTGGTGGTGGTGCGGGTGGTGGTGGCGGTGGTGGGGGGGTGGTGGTGGTGGTGGGGGGGTGGTGGTTGGGGGGGTGGTGGTGGTGGTGGGGGGGGGTGGTGGTGGTTGGGGGGTGGTGGTGGTGGTTGTGCGGGTGGTGGTGGTGGTGGTGGGGGGGGGTGGTGGGGGGGGGGGGGGTGGTTGGGGGGGGGTGGTGGTGGGGGGGTGGTGGCGGCCGGGCGTCGAGCGATGCTGCCGGGGGAAGCGGCATGGCCAGCGGCGCCCCCGCGGCTCTCTCTCTGTCTCTCTTTGCCCTGCGTGGTGGCAGCTCCACAGCCACCGCACGCTGGCAGACGAAGTCCGCACGGGTCGCCGCGAGTCCTCGTCGAGGGTTCGTTCGTTCGTTTGTTCATTGCCCCCCCCCGCCCCCCTGTCCTCCTCCCCCCTCCCCCAACCTTCACAATGAAGCGCTGGAGAGCCAAATTAAGACCATTAAGCCGATCCATTTTTTCTAAAAAAAGACGTGTAATTGGTTGCTTTTCTTGTGATCGATAACGTAGACACTTTTGAAAACGGCGGCCGTCCTCATATACTGTATCCCGAAGGGGGGGGGGGGACAAACCCCCTCTATAAGCCCGGCCCATCACCTCCCGTCCCGCGGCGCACGTGGGAACAGAGGTGGGAGGTCCCCCCGTAACTATTATTTTTATGTCATTTGATATGTCGAGTGATGGAACGGATAATTGGTAGAGTAATCACTGACAAATAATCCGATGGCCCCGCCAAGATCGATCTGAACGGAACACATGGTGGTCTTCAAAAGACTCGGGGACGACGATGGAACACACAAGTGGTGACTTTTCGAAGTGGGGCTGACCACACCACCCACTCGTGTGCCGTACTGTCGTTCTTCGGGTGCTTGCTGACGGCACTTAACCCCTAGCAGTCTGTTGAGGGCTATATGACAAGCGGGGGGGGGGGGGGGGGGGGTGGTCTTTGTGTTTGTGTGTGGTGGCGGTGACAGGGATGCAGTCGCGCGTCCTGTGCATGCATGTCCGCGCTGCCGGCCAGCGCTGGGTGTGGACATGGTCCACAAAGAGACAGATAACTCGTCTCGCCGCCGTTTGATGTCAACGTGAGAACCGGAAGAAGAATTGCATTCACTGCGTTTGATAAATCATGGCTCTGGCAGCGATGCAGCTACTCGGGCTGCACGTGCGGTTGAGGCAGAGGTAATTCCAGGACGGTTCCCGTTGGTCTGCGGCACCAACTCGAATGTAGGGAGGCACCCCCCCCCCCACTCCCAATATCCAGTCACGGTGAACAACTCCACCAGTGGGGTGAGAATGTTCAGAACAGATCTTGGAAGGCAGGGGTAGAAACGTTCATGGCAACGTAACATTGATGCTCGTGTTGTTTTGGTCCACATTAATGTGCGCATCATATCCGGCCACATCACACTAACGTGACCTGCATCATACCACGTTATTAACACTACTTTCACTGGACACCAAAGACAAAGATCCTCCGTATAGCATTAACAGACTGTTGGGGCAAGTGCTGTAAGCGATCACCTATGAAGGCCGGCACGGCACACGAGGGGGTGGGTGTCCAGCACCACGCCCGGCCGTCTTTGTCTCCCCAGTGGCAATGTTTTTACACGTCGCACTAGGTACGTATTTGAGGCTGAGTCGACCTAGGGGAGGCCCAGGGCCGGTTCTGATAATCGTCGATGGTATTGGACACCACCCTCACACACAGAGACAGTCTAAAAATGGATCAATTCATTTTGAGAACAGGGAGCACGAGAGGTGAGTGCACCTGGTAGTGTAATGGCGGGAGACACACACGTCCACCAATATCCACACCCTTGTTATAAACTCCATGGGTGGGATCTGGCAGGAGGAAGGAAGCGATGGTGAGGTGCGATGGCGTCGATGGCAATGGTCGTGATGTATCTTAGCTGCCTCGATAACTTGAAAAGTTGAGTGTCTCTCCAGTCACTCACGACGAGGCCCTGATTCGGATTAGGGGGAGGAGGAGGGGGGGTGGGCGTTGTTAAGGGGGGTCCCATGGCCCTCCGCCTTATTTACAGTAGACTTGCGTCTGGGTGTATGCCCATGACCCAGCGTGGCGATGCTGTGTTTAGATCGCTGCAGTAAAGCCCGCGGAATGCCTCCGGACCCGGGTTCAAGCGAAGGTCAGGGACAGCGGGCTCAAGTGACGGAGTTTTAAGGCTGTTTTGTGGCACGCGGCGACTTCACACGGGCGACTGACGTCGGCACGAGAAGCAACGGAAGCGTCGGAATAGACTTCGAGTACGGTCATTTAAAAAAAAAAGAGTCGTGTCATTTTCCGCGGCTGCAATCGGGATGGTCGAGAGTTACATAACTCTCGCAAAGCCTCAGAAAGAAGTGGACACGTACGTTGCTGACGCCGAGAGAGAGAGAGACGACGCGAACAAACGTTGGGGCTTGCCGCGTCTCTCGCTATACAGAGTCCCGATGTGGTTTGACCCAACGAATTGCGCCCAACTCTGCGGTTGACTCGATGGAAGACTGCGGACGAGTGAGTTCACAGCCCGGGCAGAGTGGCACAAGTGTGAGGTCCGTGAACTTGGCACTGGTCTCCACGCTGGCGTTCCGACTCCTTAAACTGGATCAATCTCCTCCGCTCGTATCAGATTCAGACGCGAATGGGGGGGTGGGGGGGGGGGGGGGGGTGGTTAGATCGCGTAAAACCCGCCACCACCCGACACAGCCAACTAGTAAGGGTTGTCACGTAAACAGAACATGCCAATTCGTCACTGTACTATTATGGATATTGGTCGCAAAAGCCTACGTGTTAAATGAATGGATCTTGTGAGTGATGTGATGTTTGACCGGTGTGTGTGTGTGTGTCAGGTGTATTATTTTTTTATGGGAAAGGCGACAACATTAATAAGTATTTATTTAATACATTTGGCATTTGCGCTATTGCTGTAGATCAATGTGCTATGTTTCACACAGCCTGCAGTAGTTTCGTAGGATGGGGCCATGTTGTCACGTGTAATGCAAATTGAGTAATTTTCAGCGTTTTTTTATAATTAGGTAAATTTGGAGCATTACGCCAGCGCACAATGACATCAAAGGACATCACAGGATCTTTAGCGTCTGCTGTGAAGCAGGCGGCGCGTATTTTATGGTTAAAACACCTGCAGTAATAACCAGGATGACCTGCCGGATGCATACCACTTTTTCCATGCTGAGGGCTGAATAGGACTTTAAAATACCTTTGGCAGGCAAACAGAGGAAAATCCAAAGATCCCCCGTATAGACTTAACATACTTGGGGCAAGTGCTGTAAGCGATCACCTATGTAGGCCGGCACGGCACACGATGAGGTGAGTGGCCAGCACCACGCCCGACCGCCTTTGTCTCCCCAGTGGCGACGTTTTTTTTATACAATGCACCCGCTACTCATTTTGAGGCTGAGTCGACCTAGGGTAGGCCCAGGACCGGTTCTAATAAACGTCACTGGGTGTTTGTGGCCGCGAGCGCGGCGCGCTAACCGCTGCACCGCCGCTCCTCAGGTGACCACACATTCCCCTATCGCACTCACTAAGTGTTGCTGTACGGTGCTTTGGCGGTGACGGATAAACGTTGCTGTGTGGCCGTTTTGCCGGGGTGGGCAGCCCTCGTGTCGGACGCGGCCACCCTGCGGCGGCTCTGAAGCGATCGGCGATCAACAACCCGTCGTGCTGATTGAAACGCGCTGCGCGTTGCTCCTGAGACGAGGTCGCGGTGGGAGCGAGCCAATGAGCCCCCGGCAGTTGCTCATGCACAGTTGAGGGTGGCCGCGAGTTGTTGGGTCATCGGCGCTAATTTGACGAACAATCGGACCGGCTCCGGGAATTTCCCCCCGGTCTCCATTGAGCTCTCACGATTCACCTCCCCGGCGGTCCGAGTAATTCTTACAATTCAGTTGGTTACGAGTTGAATGGAATACTTTTTTTTATTTTCAGTACTGCAATGAATGTAAGCGAGCCACCAGTGGCTGCAGCGGTCAACGCGAGCTCACGTGAAACCCATTACATTCGTTTCAATGAATTAAAAAAAATCGTAAATTGAGAATCGGAAGTAATTCATGAATCGTCCTTACATCCTGAGTCTCCATGTGAAGTGCTGTAGCTTTCAAGCAACACAAGATATGGTGAAGTAATGCATTTGTTATAGGGGCGAGCTAATTAGTGCGTTGTGGTGGGTGGATGTGGACCCCTGGTGCAGTAAAGCGCCTGAACCCCCCCACCACCACCACCCCCCACCACTCTGGCTCGTGGGGCCTCTGAGCAGTTGCATCGTCTGCGCTCTCGACAGCGACGCGAATTGGCTGTGTGCAGCAGGTGGCACGATTGCACCACAGTTGAGCCTCGGCATATGCAGCTTAATAACAACATTGGCGCGAACAAAACACGCTTGAAACCTCGGTTTTGTCATGCAATTAAAACAAATCGAATTAACTATCTATGGCGTTATATGAATGCCAACAGCTGCACTGTCTTCCAAATGTACAATGTAGAAAAAAGCTTCCCGTGAAAGAGAATCCCGCAATTCTTTGTGTCACTTGTGAATGAGTTGCTTTTCCTTCGACAAATTCGAACAAAGACTGAATTTCCCATTAGCATATTGAGAAGCTTTAATCAAAATTCCAACAGAACACATTTTTTGTTCATAAAAAAAATACTCGTTCACACTACTGTATACAGCTACACAACAGTATATATTTTATGTGCAATTTTGTCATTTTTGGAAAACGAAAAAATCTATATAAAGATGGAGGACGCGTAAAATATGTTTAACGGCATCGAGATGGTAATGTTACGTGACAACCCTCGGATTCTTGATTTATAAAAGTAATGTTCCATATTTTCGCAGGGAACGGCCTCACTGAGCCTCAAGAGTTTTTTGCTGACGGGGTTTATGCATTGCAGTTCAAAGCCGATTTCATTAATGAATATATTGCATGTGGGACGAATTCAGAGTTGCTTGGAGAAACCCCACGCACACGATGAGGTACACTTAAAGTTCCGCAGATAGATGCGAAGACTCCATTGCTCTACTGCCTTCTCTTGGTGACCTCGCAGCCTAAGCCGACATGATCTGGTACTTTGCAGGCAGTCTCCCACGCATTTGCTAACCGGCCTCAAGGTTGATTATCTTTTAATATTTGATGAGATTAGGCACGTTCACGTCGATTCGGTTGTTTGAGGAGTTTCACAACGTGCCTCGTGTGTGGGATGACTCACGTCTACGTGATCGGCACATGCACTGCCGTTTGGGTAATTTAATGTGGACTTAAACGTACGGGTTGCCATTCACCCCAGCCATATGCAAGGGAGACTGCCTCTGGTTTACTCAGCGCACCTCACAATTGCAGCACCTCTCGTGGTGGCAGGTTTGTACAGCGATGGACTTGGAAATGTCTCAAGGCCCATCTAATGCGGTGCATTATGGGTAATGAAATTGGTATCCACAATTCTAATTACTAACACGAGTTATTTTTAGTTTTTATAGAAAATTCCTTGAGGAGTTGAACAGGGTCCTGCTGTGTACATGGAGTACCCTATGAGAGTATCAGCTGGCTACCCAGCGGTATTTGTTTAACAAGCCTGACTCGGCTGATGAGACCCAAACAATGTCAAAACCAGTCCAGAGCTTTCTTGTTGAAACAAATGGTACTAAATAATATTAATCTGAAAAATCCATACGCTGGTGGAGTAAATCATGTTTTTGTTTTTATGTGGAGAGATGTACTGATGGCTGTTATTAATAGTTTTTATAAGCACATTTCCGAAAACGGGTGGGGCAATGGCAGACTGAGATATGGACTCTGCGACCCGAGTTCAATTTATTGCCACGGCTAAAGTCAGTGGCGAGTGGTAGCCAAATCGGTTCTGCCCCCCCCCCCCGCCCCCTTAACGAATCTGCACTTACTAGCGTGAAGCATAGCACGGTTGGCTACGTACGGTGCGAAAGAAGTTCAACATACACGCCCAGCACGGCATTGGGCGGGGGACTACATCCAGTAGTCCATTGACAAAGGACTGTGAATGAATAGGAACGACTATGATTTTAATTTCTGAAGCATGCCCCGTGATTTGAGCAGTGGAGCGCAACTTTGTGGTGCGGTGTGGAGGTTGGTGCTGTGTCTGATGCCTACGCCCGTTTCCATGGCTCGTGATGATTCCGACGAATTTATCACGTACGACGGACAGCTCTCACCACATTTCGGTTGCCAGGGGCTCATAGCATCCACCCAACACCACCCAGAGAGATCACAAACTGACGATGCAGTGAAACTTTATCTATATAAATCATTGACTTTATAAATCTGGCGTTGAATGTAAATTGGACAGTGACTTCAGAATTTAATGATTAAGAATTAAATACTAAATATTTTGGTCCAGATAATACTGCCTTTCCTTTTCACTTTTGAGGTGTTTTCTAAAAGGCAAAAATTTACCCATCTTTAACAAGCTATTTAAAGTTGTAAAAAAGTTATAAACTAATCCAGTAATAAACTAAAGTTGAAATGCTGCATTGAAGCCACGGCAAATCCTTACCCCTTCCGACAACAACCCTGGCATTGCCACTGCGTAGCTTTTCACGGTTGTACTATATGGCTCACCGATGTTTTTGGGAGTTGTTCGGCACAATGTCCGGCGTTTATCTCTACATACCGGAAGCTTTTCATTCAGTTCTTGAAAAAGCTTCCAGCACGTGGAGCTAAACGTCGGACATAATGCCAAAAAAAACACGGCATGACGCGGAAACACATATCAGAGACCTGTGGCCTCATTTGGTGGCGTTGTGTGCATAGTTCATTGGCGAATAATTTTGTGCTTGAAGGTCTTTCCTTGCCTCCTCCTGGCCACGAAGACACGACGAGACGGGCTCAGGTACTGAGCACTTGTAGACGCCGGAATGACAGCTGAAAAACAACACGTGTTTTTATTAAAGTTGATTTCCATTGAACCGCAACACCGCATGATTTGATATTAAAAAAAAATCCCGCGTTCTGGGAATTGCCAATACCACCCCATCTGCCTTGAACTATCAGGGGCAGCACCTACTGTAAAAATAATGTTTTTTGTTGATCCCGTGACCCCTCGCGAACAAAATAATGCTCAGCCTATAAATTCGCAACAAGCGCACTCCCTCGCGGAACGCGGTGACGCGTGCAGTTGAAGAAAAATGCTGCCCCCCCCCCCCTCGACCGACCTACCCTCCTGAGCCAAAACCCCATGTCTAGGGCTGCCACTTCTAAGGCACAAAGTAATGGGACTTAGAAGTGGAAAAATGTAATATCTCACAAGGTGGCTGTGAGAGGGGAGAAGCTACGTGTGAATGCGTTGGTGAATTCTGTGCTTTTGGTTTTGGTGCCATTTCTTAATTAGTTTATAAAAAAAAATTCTCAGAAGTAAAGTTTGAATTTGCTTGGTTTGTACGTGTGTGTGTGTGTGTTGGGCTTCTTTAGCGCTGTACGTAACCAACCGCTTACATGGGATTTGGTCCTTATATACTATTAATGTACAGCGTTGTGGGATGCTTTTGGCATGAATAATGCTTTAGAAAATGAAAGCATTATTATTAATTTCCCCACTATATTTTCCAGAATGCTGCGAGGTTGGCTTGGAGTAGGGATCATCGGTGTAAGTTATTTCCACTAGAGTATGAGGAACGCCTATCTGTAATAATCATACATTACTGTACCCTGTATTCCCGTGACAATATTACCGGGTTTTATGGACAAAAATAAGGCGAAATGGACGCTCGTGCTGAAACAATCCCAGGGTAAGCATTCTTGACTGTTTCGGCTGATTTAAACACTGGGTCTATAAACTCGTAATGTCCTAGGAAGGCTTTGCAGATTTCCCAGGACAGCTAGAAAACAAAGGAGGACTCTGCTGGGAAAAAAAAACGAGAGAGAGAGAGAGAGGGCGACAACTGAGCAGCACTGACCCTGGCCGCAGACGCTCATGCAGCTGCGCTCGCTACTGAAGTTGTTGTCGTTGCCGCCGCAGCCACCGTAGGTGAAGCTCTCGCAGTTGCTCGTCTTCGGGTTGTAGTGGAAGCGCGGGATGACGGCGGTGCACTCACCAGGGTCGGCTTTCATCAGGCAGATCCGGGGGAGCACTGCACACGCAGGGGGGGAGGGGGGAGGTAGAGAGGACAGGGGGAGACAGCATTCGGAGCACGTCAGGTGCGGCGGGCGGGCGGTGCGAACCAACGTAAAAACTGAACGAAAAGTGGGCATATTGAAGCGTGAGAAAGTGGGGTTAGCGGAGTAGAAGGACCTGGCACTTGTGATTGGTTGGCTAGTTGGTTTAGCGATCAGTGGGCGGACTGGTACTACTCGTGGCTGGTTGACTGGTTGGTTATGATTCGAGGCAGGAGTGTTCGGCTATCACCTTCGATCGGCTGGCGTGCTCCTCCCCAAACTGCTCGCTGTTGCTCTCCCCATTGCACCGCGCGGCCTTGTTGTTGTTGTTGTTTGTTTGTTTTGACCGTTTTTTTATTTTCTGGAGTTCACGGTGCTGCTCTTGGTGTCCTCTAACGCTGACTTGCGTGCAGGGGTTGTATGCGAAGGGGCTCTCGGTTGGGAGGAAACAAACCTGCACACGTGAGAGCTATTCTTGGTCTCAGGTCGCGTGCTCAGGTGGTTTGGCAGTGGCTCCATTTAGAGCTTCACCTACCAGATGGAAACACTGAACGGCACAGATGTTCCCAGAAGAGCAGGTCTGGTTTATTATCATCATCATCACACATCTGGTGCGTTTCATAACATGATGCCTCTGTATGAGAGACGCGGTAGCGCGCACCTGCAAACCGGCTCTTTGGAGGCAGGGTTGGTGGATGAAGCAGATTTCACAATGTGTTGTGACGCTTCCCTCTGACCGCCTTAGCTGTGAGGTGGCCACGTGACGGCAGTACAGAAAATAGATTCCCAATCGGTCTCTACAAACGCTGTTGCCTTGTTTGTATAGGTTTTCTCAAAGCACTGTGGTCCCCCCTCCCCCCAAGTGAAAACACTCAAAACAAAGGGATTTGCCGACACCTATGAAAGACCCTTCTGAAACAATATTGGGCCTCTGTGAGGCTTTTCTGGATACAAACAAGGAAATGTCTCTTTTTTTTCTAATTCATTGTCTTCTCAGATTGTATCTCCATTCTTCGATTGGTATCACCCATTAGAGGTGACGAACTCTCGCAGAGCAGTTTCACTTTCCGTCTCAGAGAACTGCCTGTGGAAGCGCGTATCAAAGAGCTGCTTCTGAGATCCCTTCAAGTAATCTCTGACAGGGGTAAAGATAATCAACTCACTGCACTTGAGAACCTGGATTAAAACCCAGAATCTCAGTGCTGCCATCTCAACGCTCTGACCTCCGCATGTATTGCATGTTGAACTTCTTTCGCACCGTACATAGTCAACCGTGGGGGGGGGGGGGGGGGGGAGGGGGGGAAGGACAGCAAACTAAACACACCTCTGAGCCGCCTTGCCACCTACCAATGGAATTATTATCATAAGTGAATAACGTGCACAAGGCTGCCTACAACTGGAAATGTAAGTGATTACACGGAAGCCGACGACGACGTGACTGGAACGAGGACGGCACCGACCTGCACGATGGACGCAGTGCTGGTAGCAAGATGCTGCGTCCTTGAAATTGTTGAGGTTGCCCTGGCAACCTCCGTAGCCAAACTCCTCGCAGGAGCCCGAGGTCATGTTGAAGAAGTAGCGGCGGAGGAGGGCGCGGCAGACGCCCACCTCCATGTCCAGGCGGCACGCCTTCGGCGCAACTAGGGGACAGGGAGACGCGAGTCACGAGCTGCCATATAGGACTCACCACTGTGATCTCTACATTGGGTCAAACTTAGCATCTCTTAATGTTCGACGGCTTGTGCACCAGATCTTATTAATTCACGATGTACTTACGAAAAATTCCGCAGACTACCTACTGGATCTCCTCTCTGTTTCAAAGAACAAATTTGACCTCGGGTCTTCGCTCATTTACCAGCTTCACATTCCCTATTGCCGTACAAAAACTGGAGGAAGGGCCTTTGCTATTGATGCCCCCAGGGTCTAGAATGCTATTGCCAATAAACTGCAACTTGAATCACTACCTATGAGATCTTCACTCAAAACTGCTCTAGAGGAGTTGTACAACCCTAGCTGCCACTGCTATTCAGTGGCCTAAAATATGGCTCTAGATTTTGGTGTTACATGTTATTTATGTAGTTTATTGTTAAAAATTCGGTCACAGTCCCTATGATCACTGTTACATTGCATTCATGGCTTTTATTTTGGTGATTTCGAAAAGTTTTTTTTGTTTTGGCCATGTTTTTGTTTATTGTAGTACGGAGTTAGACTGATGGCCTTAATCTTAGTTGTCTTGTGGTTGTTGTTGTTGTTGTTATTTGACTTGCATCCCACTGGGATTTTTGCACACAGCGTTGGTGTACGGTGCTATTTCAGGAATATTTTGATATTTTTTTCCTGTATTTTCTGTTTGCACAGTCACATAATCACTTTAAGATGTTTTCTTGTTCATGTTTTTTGTTTGTTGCGGTTGCACCCGATTCAAGAGCCGAATGGCTCACAGGGCTATACCAAATAAATGAACTATGAACGCACGCCACGCGTGTTTATGCCCAATGCTGTCACTGTGATCGTGCAAAGCGCCGTGAGCGATGGTATCTTTGGCACCGTACGTAGCCAACTCTGCAGGGAGAAGGACAACAAATGATTGCGTGCGGTGCTGCTGTGTGGGTCTGTGTAGTTCAGGCTGTGGAATGTCAGAGTTATTACTTTTATTATTTTATTTGCATGTTTAGCCAGGAAAGCCTCACTGAGTCTCATGACTCTCTATCAAGAGGGTCTTGCCAAGTATTTTTTTGCAGTTGGTGGTGATGGTTGCTATGTATGATCGCAATTAAGTAATTTGCGGGTAATTGTTTTCTTATTTGGTAAATTGGGACCTTGACGCCGGCACATTCTGGACCTACTCTTGCAAACAACTTCACGGGATCTTTAACGTCATTATGCGAATCTGGAAATGACATGGGAGAGTTGGTATCAGTTTGTTTCCTCCTCAATTGTAATCTATGGTCAAAGACAAAGTTATGTCCTGCTCAAATGAGCACCAAGGCAGTACTCATAGCTCTTGGCCATTGGTGGAAATACGACATTCCTATTACAGGGGACAAGTCTGCCCAGAGGACAAACACGTTTGAATTCCCGACAAGTGGTACTGATTTTATCGACCCCCAGAGGGGGTTGGTGAGGTTGACTCAACCCCAAAATGCTCCGGATCTTGTGCGCCGCTGAGCGAGTTGAACTCGGCATTCCGAAGTAGGTGTGGCAGGGACATCATGAAAAAACGAGTTTTCAAAGAAGGAAGACCAAGGTGTCCTTCCATTCGTGCTTCCTAGACCACAACACACAGGCAGCAGTGCTGTTTCACTGCTGACTCCTTCGATGGAAATTTAAAACTACTTTAAACCTATTTTTATTTTACCAGGCAAGGCCCAACTGAGCTATGCAGCTCTTTTTTCAGAAGCGGCCTGGCCATCACAAATGATAGCCTAATTAAGCGGTTTATCATATCGAAATTTATTGCAGCAAAATACTCTAATTGTGTAATTCTACACGTGGAGGGAAAAATTGGAGAAAAATCCACGCGACCACGGGGAGAACACGCAAACTCCAAATGTAGAGGCGTGAGGGTCGGGATCGAACCCACGACCTCATGTATACCAGGTGAGGTAGTTAATATCTCGCCACAAAACTATTGACCACGCTTTCAGTATTTTGATCAGTCCCCCCCCCCCCCCCCCACCTCAGAGGGGGGACGATGGAGTTTGACTCTCAACGCCCAAAACTGGGACTTGAACTCGCGAGCCGCTCGCTCTGCCCCAGCCGAGCCACCGGATCGCCGGAGCTCCTTCGCTGGGGGGGTCTCACCGGGGATCCAGGCGCACTTGGCGTTGCACTCGGCCAGGCTCTCGAAGTTGTTGCCATTGCCGAAGCAGCCGCCGTAGTGGAAGGGCTCGCAGCGCTGCGTGTAGCGGTTGTAGAAGACGCGCGGCAGGTAGGCGCGGCAGGGCCCCGGGTCCAAATCCATCATGCAGCTCGAGCGAGACTCTGCACCCGCCCCTGCACACCACACCCCGCGAGGCCAACGGTGCAGTGGAGAGGGTGGAGGGGGACAACGGGTGAAGGAGGTGTGAAGGTGAGCGTGAGGGAGTGTGGATGGAGTTGCGGATAATGTGGCAAGGGGGTGAGAGCAAGATGTTGATGAAGAGAGAGAGAGAGAGATGGTATGGAAAGAGGGCACCAGGACTTGGTTCGTGGTCGCGTCACCCAGATATCGTCTGTCTCGGAAGCGAGGCTGGTTTACCTGGTTCAAATATCGCTCACCACTTGTGTTCGCCATCGCCCGAAATGGAACTCGGGTTGCCATGCTCATTGAGCACTGTGCTCACCACCGCTCCCGTTTGAGTTGGTGGCATAAATAACAAACATGTTCATGCTTTCAGTATTTTTGATGCGGTGGGTTGGATAAGGCTCAGAGCATTTGTACATGAAATGCTGCGCACCCTTTGCATGTTGTTGAATCTATTTGTTTTCAGCCTAAAGGAATATTTTTTTTTATTTTGCAAAGGGTTTTTTTCATCAATTACATATTTTAAATACTTTGCGTAGCTTTTTGTAGAATTACTGAATGGGGCTCCGTAGGGGTTTCGTCAGACTGAGCGAGTTAGTGAGACCCAACACAAATGATTATAGGGCTAAATGGATGAATAATGGCCCTGCCAGTTCAATTCAAGTGGCAAAGGAGAGATTTTGTTGCAAGGCTTGTATCAGTAGGCATGAATAGAATCCATGCGTGCAATTTTGCAGGGAGCTGCTGGGATAGTATATCCAAAGATTGTCTCTTCTTATTCACGTAAAAAAGGATGCAACAATATAACTTGCGTTGCAAAGAAGTTGATTTAGCTCTGACATGCAGAATGCATTCCAGATTTTCCATTCACTCTGCTAAAGTCCTCCCCTCCCCCCTCAGAATACTCTCTCAATGATCTAAGTTTGGTATTCTGTGTATGTGGTGGGCAGCTGAGCGCATTACATTCACACGTGTGGGGATTGTAAGGGGGTTTAGATAATCGCCATGGAATCGGCGGTTCTCTTGATGGATTCCTCAAACTTGGACCGTTGCACCCCTGATTTGTACGAAGAGGTATTTAAAAAAAAGAAAACGTTGTCTGTTGATATTAAATAAACATTTAAATATCGCAGTCTGAACCACATGCGAGTTTTGGCCCCCTTCCACTGCGCAAAAACAAATACACCATTCGCATCAATCTTGAGAGATGTTTTTTTTTTTCTGCTGCCAGAGAGTAGCCATTGGGAAGGGGTCTTGAGAAAACTGCTACGATATCGGATGAAACGTCAATAATGAAGTGCGTACACCAAAAAAGAGCGTCGTAACACCCGCTTCGTCTCTAAGATGTGTTGCCAGAAGTAATTCTCAAGACCACAAACTTCATATTTTGTGTTTCATACGATATCGCAGCAGTTTTTCCATGGGCCCTTACAGCCTTTAAACCATCAGTAAATATAATTTAAATATACTGCAATAGGATATCTGTGTAAACTCATGCATGATACTCTAGTTCACCTGACGTCCTAATGAAGATGAACTTATGATTACGATGGTACACTGTGTGCATTCATCGCCTAAACTGCAGGGCAAGTATCAAAAGCATGTGGTTTGTATGACAAGCGTGGAGAGGGCTTTTAAGCTAAAGAATACCTCAGAAAATGATAAAAGATCTACTTGTTTAATTCGTCTGTTCATTTTTAAAATATACACAGTTGCTTATTTAACAACAAAATATCAACAAACGTGTTTGTAAGCTCACAGGCAGGTTAAGAGTGACAACTGTTTATAAGAAGAGAGGGCTTCAAAACACTTGTTATGCCATCGGGGACCTCAAACAGATACAACTTCAGAATGTTTCTTTTTTACGTGTCTGTTAATAGTACGCACACACACACACACACGCACTAAAATATACAATTGCTCACCAAAAGATATCCACGAACAAAACACAACATTTGCCAGCATCTCAATGCCTCCAACCGTCACCAAAACATTGCAACGACCGAGAGAGTGAGAGAGAGAGGGTGAGAGAGAGTGTGAGAGAGAGAGAGTGAGAGAGAGTGACCAAGTGCGGTCAAACGAGCACCCTGCCACGACGGGAAAATGAAAGACACATGACGGGCAGAACAGCAAACTTAACCACCAATGTTTTTTTTCCTCTCGCTCGGCAGCGCAGTGACAAAGAGCGGTGGGGTTGGCCCGTAATGAACGAGCCGTTCACGGGGGGAGAGCGAGGCGGCGGCGGAGGCGGAGGAGCCGTCGGTTACCTGTCTGGCCGAGGCCGGGCCGCGCTAGCAGCAGCGTGGCGAGGGTGGCGAAGGCGGAGCGGAGCAACGGAGCGGCCATGCCGGGACGCGGAGTCGCGAGCGGGCTGTCTTCACGAGGGATGAGGGGGGCTGGGTTGTTGGGTTGGGGACGCAGTGGCGACTGCTTATATCCTCCCCCCACCACCACCACCACCCCGCGACCTCGCGGCCTCGGAAGGGGAGGAGAACGGACGGCGGCCGTCAGAGGCCCTGGCACGGGGCTTTTATTTTCCTTTCCATTATTGACTTTGTGATGATAACTTTCTGAAGGTGTGTTGGCGGGATGAGTGGGTGGGTGTGCGACGACTTATGCGGGGTGTGTGGGAAATGTATGTTTGAGCAACCGGCCTCAAACGTTGAACCGTTGATTCGACTTTTTGTTGTTGTCGTTGTTGAAGCCTTAGTTCAACTTTTGTGGCTTATGTCATTATGGGTTTGGACAAATGTCTTGAAGTTTTGGTGGTAGGCGAATGTGAAATATTCCGCGGTTGATTAAACATATTTTCTCCAAGACAGATCTTCATAAATAGCTGTCTGACGCAGTGAAATATTTTTGACTTTTTCTTCATATGCATGTTCTTTGCGCTCGTCTGTGAAGCGCTTGCACACACAGGAAAATGTTTACATGCGACCTGTCTGTCGCGCAGCTGTGTGTAAAGAGGGGCAAAGCAGGGAGTGAATTATTTTATTGCCAAAAAGGTCCCATGATATCGCTGCTCACCTGAGCTGAGTCCCGGATGATCCCAGTAGCAAAAGTAGCTACACATGTAGTAGCTACGGGCTCCGCACTTTCAAGGGCCCCGCGCTAAATGCTTTCAAGCTATCAATTCCTGTTCAGTGATTCTGCACTTGCTTTATTACTATAGCACTAAATTTTGATTTAAAGCTTTCGTGACTGCAGGGATTCATATTCTTGGTTCTTTCGGTAAAGTCACGTAGAAGGGAAACAATAAAATAATAAAAATATAAAACAATAAAATTATCACGACGTTTCGACTGCAACACAAGCAATCATCATCAGGTGTGAAAACCACAACAAGAAATTTAGAAAAAAGTGGCGTTTTTTAACGTCAGCACCACGGATAGCGATTTGACATTTTGTTCAGATGGACGAGTCTATCTATGTTCGGAAAAGAGGAGGGGGGAGACGAAAAATAATGGATGCAGTCTGAAAGCCACTTTAAGCGTGATCAATCCAATTAAGACCCGAAATGGTTTATCAAATCCTTCCAATGATTACTAAGCCAGAATCCATTTTTACTATAGTACTATACCGCCTTCAACTTTTATGAACGACTGGGTGTTTAAGGTTAGCGATTTGTCGTATTATCTGGCTGTATAGCAAATCAAAAATACGATTACTTTACTATGCAAGTAAAAACATTGTGTTTTATTTTTTGTTATATTTTTTTGTATATATGGCCCCTTTATAACATCATGCTACAGGCCCCGCACTAGCTTAATCCGGCACTGCCCGAGTTACTGTATACATGCTCTGATACGTGCATTTGTCGTTGTACCGTTCGCCTTTTGGCGTTGTTATCTGGTCTAACACTGGTGAGACAAGGCCATAGAGAAGGCTGCCTCTGGTGTAGGCTAATCAGTTTCAAAGACAATGCATATATTATCAGAGCGTGTTTGTTTGCATGTTCATCACAAGTACGTGTTGTTAATGCAGTACTTCATTCCTCGCAAAAGCTATCTATCTGGTGTTTGAACATCTTAACACCTGTTTTATTGCCAGAAAGGGTAACACCTATTCTTATTTTTCATATTTTGTTGAATGTTTCAACCCGTGCACCTTAGCGTGAGCGCAGGTGATGCCGAATCTTAAAAAGTGTTTTTTCGTTCGTCTTATGCCCCCTGAGTTAATATCTGGGGGTGTCATCGTTTCTTTTGCACTGGGTAAGAGGTTCATATTTGTTGCTGTATTCCTACGACTAGTGAGTAGTAATTCATCCGTAACCCAGCATGTTTATAAAAAATATGAAAACTGATTTACGCGGAAACTACATCACTTGTAGAGTTTTGCAGTCTAAATCAAACATGCACCTTCTGTTCCCGGGCGATAAGGCTTCATTAAATGCACCAAACTGCGATGTATTGGGGGGGGGGGGGGTGCGAGAAAAGTGATTAAATGTTTGGAAAAATAGCGGAGGCGGTGATTCTCTTGCCTGAATCACAGTCAAATTAAACTCCGGGACGTGTGGGCGGCCTGGGCATCCGGCAGGAGTGAGACGGGGGAAGCTGTTATTTTCCCATGCTTTGGACGTTTAACCCACGCCACGAACTCCGTGGACATCCGTTTCTTCAGGGTGATTTGTTAAAACGCACCCTGGGCATCGTCTTTAACAACAACGACGACGATGACGACGGTGGTCTCGTTTTAACAATTTGAAGACGGTAAGAGGGGTTGCAGCGCTCATTTGGGCTCTCGGTGGGGCTGGCGCTCACCTCCCGAGCCCTGAGCCGGTGGTGGCAATGATGGCATTCCTCCGACGGCTGAGCATTTTTCTATACGACAACCACTGTTGCTGTTGAATTGTCCATGGAGTGGTCCTCACTTTGCCAGTCCCAAAGGGATGATGGGCCAAAGTCAACCCCCTAATCTGAAATGTAACTTAAATGCCTTCCTCGTATTGCTCGCGGCACGTGCTACCGCTGCTCCACATATCCAGGTATCGTTTTAAAGCGCATATTAAATATATCACAGCATGCACTTGCACGTTCTTGAAACGTGATATTCTGTCACGATGATTGCATGGTGCACGCGTACACTTTAAACCCATTATTACTGCCTGTGGAACACAGCTTTCAGTACAGTTCTGGAAGGTATTTTGACTTTACATGGGGTGTGGAATAGAGCGTGTGCATGGAGCCCACCAGTTCAAAATAAGTTATGTATTCTTGAATATATCTGTGCAGAGCTTTGACTGTTACACCTCATATCATGGGTTATCTCTGTGTACTCCGGCTTCCCCCCACATTGAACCAAACGCGCATTCATGAAATTGGCCGAAACATATCAATGCAGGACCCTCCTGAAAAAAAAAACAATCTTGAGGCTCAGACAGACTTTTCTGGATGAAAGGGCGTAAATATTATGATTTTTACTACAGTAATGCCATCAGTCCTCACAATGTGGAAAATAAGCCCAGCTCGAGCGGCTGTTAGAACACGACACCGCTGTGAGTGTGAGCCAGATGCTACATCTCAGTGCAACGCTGCCCCTTCACCAGGTCTCACATTCCACGGCAGCTCGCGGTTGCAAGTTGACAAGGATTCAACTCCCCCCCCCACCCCGGATTGTAAGTCCTGGTTAACGAGGGACGTGCGGACTAGATGATGTCTGGGTGAGACTTTTTTTCTGCGTGAAGGAAAATATTCCTGTGGTGTAATTCTCTGCAGCGGTATCCATTTCATATTATTTGGGTCTTTCGGTAAAGTCACATAGATAGGTAAAAAAAAATAACAAAATCCATTTCAATCGAGACGGTGAAAATTTAAATGTAACAAAATGTCCCCGTTCACAGTGGGGGCAAGCTTCACTTGACTCAGACGGAACAAATGACATTGTTATGGGAGCCACAGGCCGGTCACGCTTCAGTCAGAGAGGACCCCAGTGGCTCATCAGAACCCCGGGCTAGCAGCACGAGCGGTGTTTGTTGACAGTTGGAGAAAGTAAGAGAGCAGGAAACCCAGGCGTGAGTGTCTCTTCCGCAAAAAATTACTCACTCGCTGCCCACAAGTTCAGCGACAGCCTCGCGCGAAGAACAAGAGCCCACTTCTGCCAGACGGCACTCGATACGGCCGTGTTTCTGCCGGCTCCGCTTTGTTTGGATAGTCGCCTGCCCCGGTTTCTCTGTCTCCGTCCCAGCGGCAGACTTGGTCGTGTTTACCGGCGATGGTGGAAATGCGTCACTCGACGTCCTTGTTCCAAAAAACGATGGTTTTTGGTAATGTAATCTATGTAGAAATACAATAAAATTATATTAGAACAAAAAACAATCACGACGTTTCGATCACAACGCAAGCGATCTTCATCAGGTGTCAAGAACAAATCACGGAGGTTAATACAACAAAAAGATGAGAGACGAGAATTCAACAAACCTGAAGAAACATTATGTGAAGCACATCCAGTCAGGCCAACAACACAGTCAGACACTTGCTGGCGGACCACGAATTTCAGAAGAGTGTTAAATTTCGTGTTCAACCTTTGGATTGCACATACCAGCATAGATAGAATGAAAAATACGAGGTACACAGTCAGTAGAAATACATATACAAGTCCACCAAGAGGTAAGGAGGGAGGAAAGACGGACAGGGAGGCAGAGAGAGGGGGGGGGATGAACAGAAGCTTAAATAGGAAATACGGTTGGAGGGGGGGAGGGGCCAGAGCAAGAGCGGCAGCTCAAACACGCAACATCTTACACAAACAAAACGGCAGCTCAAAAAAGGACCACCTCTTGTAAATACAAAACGGCAGCTCAAAAAATGACCACCTCTTGTAAATACAAAACGGCAGCTCAAAAAAGGGCACATCTTACACGTAATTACAACGGTAACTTCCCTGTAGAAGTGTGATAATAAAGTATTAAAGCTTTTGTGACTGCATAAAATTACTCATTGGTTTTTTCGGTAAAGTCACGTATGTAGAAATACAATAAAATTATATTTTAAAAAATCACGACGTTTCGATCACAACGCAAGCGATCTTCATCAGGTGTCAAGAACAAATCACGGAGGTTAATACAACAAAAAGATGAGAGACGAGAATTCAACAAACTTGAAAAAACATTATGTGAATCACATCCAGTCAGGCCAACAACACAGTTAGACACTTCCTGGCGGACCACGAATTTCAGAAGAGTGTTAAATTTCGTGTTCAACCTTTGGATTGCACATACCAGTATAGATAGAATGAAAAATACGAGGTACACGGTCAGTAGAAATACATATACAAGTGTTGTATTTACCTCCGTCACGAAAGCTTTAATACTTTATTATCACACTTCTACGGGAAAGTTACCATTGTAATTACGTGTAAGATGTGCCGTTTTTTGAGCTGCCGTTTTGTATTTACAAGAGGTGGTCATTTTTTGAGCTGTCGTTTTGTA